AAATAAAAAATAAAACGAAACGAAATCACAGCTTAAATCCTATGAAAGATTTATGGCAGCATTTATATTGTACAAATGACATTCTTTCGAAACGTTATCAGGTATTAAACGTGTTCACAAAAATGAGTAGGAAAATTCCAAAAAAAAGTCATCAGTATTTACCCCAAATCTCTATGAATCCCTCAAAAACATGATGTTGTTGAAGAAAGCCCCAGGAATTAGGTGGCGATTTCGTAAAATTTAAGCACCAAGTAACAAGAAAACTTGAAAAAATGTACCCCTCAGGATAGACAAACTTGCAAGAAAAACGCGAGAGGAGGTAAGGGAGAGACGTTAACGCGACAACAACTGGTAACACACGGCGTGACCTGCGGGGAAATACGTATACTGTAAAACGCGCGGCTAATTTACCCGATGCTGTGGAGAACTGCCATAAGCGGCTTATTAGGAGTGACAATGGCTGGCAAAAGTGTCGCGTAATCTCATAGAGCAGCATCAGCAGGTATCTCCGATGCAGTGAACATACAAGGGGGCTTCGTCTACTCTCATCCATCAATAATTTACAAGCCTCCGTTCGGGACACGTGCTACGCTTAACTTTCTTTCATTGTTCCTGTATCTTTTTCCCTCCCCCCGCTCTCTCTCTCTCTCTCTCTCTCTCTCTCTCTCTTCGTGCAGCTATATGTGCCTTGCAACTATGGTCTTGCTAGGAAACAGTTACTCTCCCTCTCGTCGGTGAATCGGCCGAGCAAACAAGAGGGCGTAGATCGTCATGTCTCCCCAGTGTACATTTTTCTCGCTCTCAGCATCTCTTTTTCTCTTTCTATGTATTTTTGAATGCGAAATTCCGTTTGATGATTGATGAGTTACTCGCTCACTCCCTGTGCCCCTTCCCATTTCCATTTTCCTCGTTTCCCAGAGACAGAGACGTACCTCTTTTCTTCGACGCGGTCGCAGCCGTCATTTTCGCGAAGACTCCGACGTGGCATTCGTAAACATATAAAAGCCTGGTCATGCATAAGCCCAACCAGAAAGTCCACTGGGAACGAGCCGTCCTTTATCCGGACCCAGTGATATTTTGGCAGACGAGTTTAACGCCAACTTGCATACACATGGCAGCCGTACAATATACTTATACGCGCGTACATGACAACACGGGAGCGCCTCCCTCCGCTTCCGAGGAACAACAACAATCAATTACCAGCAGTGAGAGAGAGAGCGATAAGACAAGTCGATCTTACTTTGGGAGGAGCCCAGCGAGATTGACTTATCGCGATGTACACGTATGTACATATATATATATATATAGGACCATCACAGTAAATACGCAGGAGCTACTAGTTTTTGTAACGAGATAAGAGGACCTGCCACACGCTGTACATGTTATACGTTTACTTATCGAGACAAGCTTATCGTGAACCGCCCATGAGGGGCATCGGATAGGATGTAGAGATGCGATAGCCACGCGTACCCCAATACATGCACGCGCTCGAGGTGCCCCCGTGGACTTTGGGAGACGTCTTGCGAGCCGATGGGGTTTGTGGGCTGGCTAAGCGGAACAAGGGACGTGGTGGAGGCGGTTTTCGAAGGGGATGGGCAAACGGCAGCTGACACGAGGTGTCAATCGGGGAACCCGGCAATTTTTGGCTTGTCTCTTGCCATACCACGATGATAATGATGCTGATGATTTTTTTTTTTTTTTTTTTTTTTTTTTTTTTTTTTTTTTTTTTTTTTTTTT